AAATATGGTAAACAAGCATAGGACAGAATAGAGAAATTCTTTATAATCCCAAATTACAGCTTGGTTAACCAGAGTGCTCCCTAAGCCAGGTCGTTACTGCTGCTCTATTTGCATCCCAGAGGAACTATCCAAACTTGGAGGCTTGTACTGATCAACTTCAAAGCGCAGCKAGATAAGCTGAAGAGTGACTGAAGTCTTAATAAGGTGTTCAAGGGCTCAGACCTCATCGTATAGGAAGATAAAACAAGTGATTATTAATGTTCAGCTCCAGCACACATTCATTATTGGCTGCAYGCTATAAAAATTTTGGATCTTTTCATTCAAGTCAATCATTTAGACTGTCTATTCAGCATAACTCCCTAGTCACTATAATCATTTATTTGTTTCACATAGAAGAATCAAGGTCTGCATGTGCTCTGCATTCCAAGAAATCTAAGACAGATGAAAACCAATAATGTAAAACACCACCACAAACGCTTTCCTGGGAAAAACTGAACCTGGCTTGAGGGGAAACCTCACAAGAAACCTGACATGCCAGGAAACATCATGGGAAATGTGGCCCAAGAGGAACTGCAGCTTTTACATTTACCCCTGTGTCTGCCTTGCTAGGGTCAGTCAGTCAATCAAATGAAGCCGATACACTTGGGTGCAATAACAAAAACATACAACTAATGCAAACGAATCAAGGCCGTATTTTAATAGCAGAATTCATGAAAAAAACAGCACTTTCCATCTGCTTGCATTATTGTATTAACATTGCCCAACATCACCTATGAATTAGGATGCTGCGCCACAAAAAAAAGTACAGTAAATAGGACAACTGATTCCTCAACATTAAAGACTAAATAATCAGTTTGATATCATATATTTCAAAGAGTTATTGCGAGCTTAGAGCCCAACCCTACAATTTTTTAGCTGTCGTAATATTATTGAAACATGAAAAGCTACGCACTGGGTCATAGGCAGGCAGAGTTCTTGGCATCTGATGTATATGCTGTATGCAAGATAGTCTCAAGTATATATTGGCCCTTAGAAGTTTTTACTCAACGTATTTTTTTAGAAAGTATTCTGTTGATAATTTAAACTAATCTCGAGTATGGTCTTTGTTTCCTGTGTATACTAGTTTTTCAGAAAGAATACTGAATCAATAAAAAACTTCTGAAATAACTTAGATCAAACGGGCCACAATAATTAGTATTTTGCATTTTTTCAATTAGTTTATAAAAAAAAGCCTTAGATAATCAAGACATTTTATTAAGGAAAAAAACTCTTCCTCTGCAATTGTTCAATAGAAGTATTTAGAACCTTATGGCTTTCGACAAATCATACTATAAGCAGTATTTGTGATTCAAGCAATCTGTGTTGTARTATATTATAAATATTGGGAGCTACTGGAAAATCATCATGTTTGTGAATCTCCTGGACAAAAATCTAACATAGATGCAACTCACCTAAAGTAAAGAGTTAATTTAGAAAGAGGTTGTAGAACAGCCCACTGAAATTATGTAAAATAAACCTCAGCAAAAGGACGTGCTGAAAACTTTTTTCAAAGTAACACTCACTAGTAAGTTCTATCGTAATGTAATAATACACAGAATAGAAACATAGAAACATAGAAATAGAAACATAGAATAGAAACATAGAAATAAAGGCTGTGTGTATCCAAGCAAAATCTACACAGTATTACATTCTTTGAAATGATCATATAATTAAACATTAAGTAATTTAAAAGTTTTAACAATTAGAAGTCAAACATATCAGTGTAAAATAGTGCACCATAAATTGATGCGTATGTGGCTTGCGACAGTCTGCACATTATTTATTACAACTAACTATGTTTTCAGTAACTGTAAAATTACTCCAAATAGACTGTCCAAAATAGGTCCAAACAGTACTCACAGTAACAGTGTATGCAGAGATATTTTTTTAAAAAAATTGATATTCCTTTTTTCACATTGTATTCCTCAAGCCTTCAGTATTTCCCAGGTTCTTAACATGACAGCATGGAATTGTTATAAATTGCTTAAAATGGAGCATCTGTAACTTCCTATATTATGGAGTTTGTTTTTTTTTTAAAAAAAAAAAGTGTCAGTTTCTGTCACAGACTGGAAAGTTCATTTAAAGAGGTAACCTCATCTTTCTGTGCAGGCCAAAAGAAACAATTGTCCTTTTTTTTTTTCTCTCTGTGGTCCATTCCTAACATTTTATCATTAATTATTTTTTCCAGCAAACAATAAAATTTATTTTTCAATGTGCTTATTACATTCAAGGAATTTCTTCAGCCCTTACCAGTTTAATAAAATTGCTTGTGAAAAATATTATTCAAAAACATAGAGGAGCTGTTTGTATAGCATTCAAAGTATAACTGCAGGTCTAAAGCAAGAGGAAAACGTYGATTTCTTCCATTTATATGGCCAACAATAACTTTTACATTCTGACAGAAGCATGTGTATACTGGCTGTGAAGGTAGTTTCAAAATACTTACCAGGAAGTGCATAGTTAAATAAAATTCAGGCTCCTCTGATATTAAAGAGATACATGGGCTTCTTCGACCCCTAAAGTTCATGTCCGCACTTTTCTTTTTTTCTTTTTTTTTTTAATAAAACACAAGTGTATGTTCTCTCCAATGAACATCACACACATATTTTTGTATAGATGATTGTAYTAGATGAGATGAATAAAAACACAGAATTCTCTTAACAGAGGAATCAAATGTCTTCTACGTGAAAAGGAACTTCRTACTGAAAATTATCCAATTTATATTGTACTGCAAAATGCTATAGTGGAAAGTGTCACCTGCTTCACCTACAAAACTCAGTCTCTTAACCACATTCAACTGAGAACAGGTTGTCCCTTTTAAAGCAGGGACCTCCAATAAGTTCTACAATAAGCCAGGGATATCTAAATTGCTATATGGGCAGTATATATCAGAACATGTTGCATGACACTGAAAGTGAGTCTATTACATATAAGAAAAACAGTAATATGTTGTTATTCTCATCCTCATTTAATCAGCATTACAAATTTCATATCTCCTAAAAGCAGCAGGAAGAGAGACTGTTAAGAACAAGCTGAGCATGTAAAAGAGGGCAAGGATGGCACATACAATGCAAAAGGTTTAAATTACTCTTATATATCATGGTCATGTCCATAACTGACAAAAAAAATAACAGTCCAAATGTAATCTAAGGGGACCCAAAACATCTCATATGCTGTGACCCAATCCTTCCAAACTACCTAAGTACTAAAAGAGAATATCAGGTTAATTTCTCTAATGTTTTACTAAAACCTCAAATACTTCCATTACATTAAAAAGTCAAATGCAACACATTTGTATTGCATGTTTACCCAGGTAAATAATTCGAATCTATAGAGGTTTCAGATACTTTAATCTCCTTATGGAAGAAAACTGCAGGAAAAAAAATGGCATATAGAAATCTTCAACTTTCCTCCTATTAACCTATTAACACCATGGAATGGCAAAGGACAAGAGTGGAACATATAGGATAAAAGTATTTAAAACTTTTTAACTCATACAAGGCAATATATTAGAAGCCACATCCCCACAAATGAATAGATATTCAATTACTAAACTAGCTTAAAATAACCAKAAGGGTAGCATCAGGATAATGTTCGGGATCCACACATAATTCCGATAAATAAAATTTCCCTGCCTAAAAAAGTTACAGAATTTACCGTCAGAAAACAGATGATGTAACTAGTTTGATTTAACTATAGCTTACTAAAAATAAATAAATAAATAYGATGAAACACAGTAAAAGGCAGCTCTCAAATCCTCCTAATATCTGGCATTCTTAAGGATCTTGCCAAAGTAAAGACCAGTAGTCTAAAATTAATTCCTTGTTAAGTCCATACTACTTTACCTSATCCTATTTTAAATGACATTCTGAATAGACTTCCAGAGCTATGACTTTAGTAAGAAGAGCCAAAAATTACCATTATCTTTTGAAAGAATGGATTTATGTGTCGGTATTCTGGGACTAGCTTTCTTCAGTTCATTTTCATCTCTCACAAACATACACAGGAGAAATTTTTTATAGTTATTTCTGCAAGATTTCATAAAGAAAAGCTTCCTTTTATGTGCAGCTAACGTGCAGCCTCTCTCCCCCCAGAATGTAAGATTCATAATCACATATTTTTTTAAAAGGACATATTTTGATACGAGTTTCTACAGTCTAGTTTCTTATCTGCAAGTTTAAAGGTTAGATATTCCTTAGCTTTGGTTTGAAATATTCTTTAAAGTGCCTGATAAATCAGGTGTATCAATCCACAGRAAAGCAAGCTCATTACCTTTGAGCTTTTCTTTTCTTACTCTACTTTCATCAGAGAAACCCATCTTGTACCATAAAAAAGAGTAAAAAATCTCATGCAATGGTATGACAAAGTTTGCTCTCTACCAAATAAAGATCTGCAGCCAGCAGAGGATAGTAGGTTACTAGTGAAGATAAAAGTCCTTAGAGAAAAAAAGAACTCTCCCGAGTGACAAAACCCACCTGTTTAAATAATTTACAAGGTTTTAGAAGTTGTAAGCTGCATTTTTTTTTCTGGTATCACAATTTGGAAGACTGAATAATTGGGTTTCTAAGATTTTGGTGTTAACTTAAATAATAAATAATTTGTCTCTGTAACAACTTTGCTTCCTATCAGCCAAAACCCAGTTATTTTCAGCTGTTCCGTCCTTTAATCTCATCGTGAATCCTATCATCTCAACAGTCTACCTTTCTGTACTAGCACTGAAAGATAATACAGAATTTAAWGAAACATATGACAATAGCAAATTTAACTTCCATAAAGAATCAACAAATATGGGGCTTAGTAGGTGGTTTCGGTTAATCACCTAATTCACTTTTAAATATTTTCCAAAGCAGAAGTAAAACACTAACAGATCCATTATTAATCTCTGCTGTTTCTGCTTTCCCCACCACCTCCACATAGGCRTCTGGTGCAGAGATTCCCGGGTGCTTGGGCAGCTAACTTACATCATGCTTTGCAGCTCAGGTGTAAAGCTTGTTGATTTTCCTGAACCTCTTCCACCGCTTGAAGAAGCGGCCGTTGACATCGGGCTGGCCACAGTGCTGCTCATCTGAGTAAACAGAAACAAAAGCACTTAGAAATATATTTTATCTTAAAGAGAAAACAGTAACAACTGCACATCACTTCACAAAAGCCAATGTGCTTGAAAAATCTCAAGGCTAATTCTGTGCTTCAAACAGAAATCATAAGGCCATAACCCTACAAGCACCAATGAAAAGCTACTAAGCTAAAATCACTGTTTTTCTAGTATATATGGTATGCACAGGCACCACTACCTTGCCACCTGAAACACACATTTACATTTGTAGGGTATCACAAGAAAGAGTAAATCAATAAAGCTGAGAAGAATAACATGGAATTCCAGAAAAAATCAAATGAAAAGTTATCACATCTTCATGATCACTGAGATCATCAAAATTTCTTTTAGAGATGCCAGGTTTACCAAGGTCTTTATAATAGAAACGTGTTATAAACAAAAAACTGGTACTCGTACATTAAAATACCTACATGACTAAAGGTATTGTTTTTATATGAAATATTTTATGATTTTTCTATACAAAATTCTTAACATAGCTCACTCGTTCAGTTACACTGCTCAATTCTTGGACTATTAGCAGCACCAGCAGCAATGCTAATGAAAAGCACATGTTAATATGATCCATTTTTCAGCAAGGTCACTAAAGAGATATTACCTTTTTTTCTACTTTAAAAAATTTAATTTAAGATTGATTTCTTCTCTAAAAGAATAACCTAAAAATACAAAAACAGATTTATATCARATGCAAGTATTGCAGTGAAACACTGCTGTTTCAAGAAATTCTGTAATACTCTAGATACAAAGTCTAAGATCTTTCTTTAAAAGTAACAGAATTATTATTTTTAAAAGGCTAAGGATATAATAGCATGTGGATGGACCAAAAAAAATAACAAAAAGCTCATGCATTTTGATATGTTTACATTTTTTATTAACGCTTTCAAGTAGATTTTACCAGACTTCTGTTTGTCTTCAGGCAAATCCTAATTTAGGTCCCCATTCTGCAAGCACTTATGCACATGTGCAACTTTAATCACATGTTTACTCCCACTGAAGTCTGATTTTAATCACATGAATAGTTACACACCAGGCTTAAGTGTTGGCAGGATCTTGCCATAATCAGCAGTTACCAAAGAGTCATATAATCTAAACAGTCAAATTAGGAAGTTAAAAAAAAAAATACATCTATAGCATGGAGGAAGCTGACAGTGTATTTCAAGGAAGACACATCAAAGGGAGTGATAGGGAGGCCAAAATTGCACCGTGTACCATAAGGTGTCCACAGATTTGGAAATTTATACTTAGTTTCTGTGTTTTCCATAGTTTACTCTTCATTATTTAAGTAGCCACCTATATCTAGCACCGTGTCAATATTCTTAATTAAATTTCAGTATACTGTAAATTCTATAGAGCTTAGTAACTTAAAGTATTTTTTTTAAAAATGGAAATATTTATGCAGAAGTCTCAGACAACAAAATTACTCTGTCAGACAAACTCCCACAGCATCCTCTCTCTTCCTCTCTTCCCTCCATTCTTTCTTTCTTTTTTAATTAATTGTAATCATCAGTTTAATCATATCTATATGTATCATGAAGGCTACATTTGCAGAACCTAGTCCACATAGTTGGATTTTTAATTATTTTGAGTTTATTGAAAAATGATTGAGTTTATTGAGATGAACATCTCAGCTTATGCTTTCTGAAATGATGGCAAAATAAAAATTCTCGAAACATGTCACTCATACCTGTCCTAGGAGTCCAAAGGCTAAATGGTACATAACGACTCAATTTTATATTTTTTAAGAGAAACTAAGTGCACCATCCAAAGCATGTGCTTATTTTCTTTAAGCATCCAAGGCAGGCCTTTTGCTTTATCCACRCTGTTGCTTTCTACTGATTTAAGAAGCAATCTCGTGAAATGAGGAGCAAGCCACAGTTGTAGAGAGTTTCAACCCGGGTGTAATGGTCGTGTGCCTCCTTTGGAGCAGCCCTGGAGTGCTTTAGAGCAAGTATTTTTCAAAGTTCCTGTCCCCTGAATGCACAAGAACAGTCCAAGTATCCACAAGGTCTGTGCATGCCTATCTGTAGGCTTGGTTGCTCAAAGCTTATCTGCTAGTGATTCACTCCACTCAGCTCTTCCTCCTGCAACCAAGCAATTTAACTTCCAAATCAAGCAGGTGTACAGCATTTTCTTGACATAAAAAACAACAGCTTGTTAGGCTTCGTCAGACCCCTTAGAATAATTACTTCCACAGCCCACATTTTGTTTGATGGTTTAGATAATTAACTTCTTTACACATCAAAGTCCCATCATCCGTATGTTCTATTTCCTTTCTTCCGGACATTAAAAAAAATAAATAAATAAGCAAGAAAAAAAAAAGCAGCCCATTCAAAAGCAAAAGCGCTCTCAGATCCATTTTCTTCAATAAGTTCAGCTAACATGAAATTGAAAAGCCTACTGTAATCTTCAGTGGGTCAATATAGTATATTTGTTTTTGCTCAGAATGGAAATGCAGCTGTTTGCCATATTCTGCAAAATGAATTCAGATGTTCAGATTAARCCCCAGATTATTTCAGCCTGGCTCATTTTAATCACGAACTCAAGCAAGGGGAAGATAACATCTGATTAACACTATTTGAGGCTAGTAATTATGAGGTCCTACCTAAATACGTCCGGCTTTTGCAAATTCTTTTCCCAAAAGCAAAATATTGCTATCAAATGTATAATTAAAAATACATATATTCAAAATTTTATATATAAAAGCTATCAACACAAACAAACTTTCAAAAGAATCAACTGTAATCTCAATGCCTTTGGCATTAAACTGTCATATTAGAAAATCATACTTGCTCTGTTAAACCACCATAATAAAAAAAAAAAAAAAAGTTTAATCTGAAGAAAACTAATTTATCAAGTTTGGGCCCTTCCTTTTCACTGGTAACAGACTTGCCATTCGTAGCCATCCTGCATAATCACAGCCCCTTGCTGAAGTTCCCCAGTGCTACTAACACAATTATTGCTGTTTAACCAATAATTCAGCAGCTCCCTAAGCTTGAATTTAATACTTTATTTTGCAGAGTCCCAAATCTGTGCTGTTTCATATCATTTGGTGACATGCACAGGCAGTCTCAAAAAAGTCACAGTCAACACGATCCCCTTTTATTTTGAAATGCTACCCCTGTACATTCACCAACTACTGCTGCCAAATTCTCCAAGAGGATTTGGAGATGATGCCTTCAGAGACCCAGAACAGGAAAAGTCCTGCACTAAATCGGTTAATGATCTAAACTCAATCAGGAAGAGCAAATGTTTATATTAATGCAACCCTGGCTCTGCAAATCCTGAATGGATCGAAGCCTAAACTGAGGCAGTGTAAAATAAAATTGTGTTCTCACAAYGTGAATCAGGAAGACAAAGTTTTGAGGAAAACGGGGCATAACCACAGTCAGTAAATACATTTGTTTTCGGTGTTTTCAAAGTGAATGAGGTCACACAAGTCTAACTTYTCTATCTTTCCTTCATAAATTTTAACTAATCGGTCTCTGGTATAAGCTAGAGATGGTGTAGAATTACGGAGGAAAAAAAGAAATGAGAAAAAAAAATCAGTGCTTCTGCATATATTCCTATATTAAATATATTATTGCAGAATTTACTCTTGTGACAAATTAATTCAGCAAACCTACATCCAATGTGGATACTGCATCAGTCTTTCCTTTCCTTTCATATACACATTTTGAATATAACCCAAAATCATGCAAAAAGCCAAAGACTGATGTATTTTCATGTCTATAAACTCAAGCATAGCAGGAAGGAAGGAAATGAATGCCATGACTATGAATTAACATAACATTAAAACTAATGTTTTTATTTTCGTGCCCTGTATTTCACAGTAATTAAGTTGCCACCAAGGATTTTACCGAATGTACGCGCTAAGCAGCACACAAGAGTGCAAGAAASAGTCTCCTAGGCTTGGAGATGTTAAAAACAACTAACTAAATACTGCATTTCAAATGCTGGAATATATACGTATCCAGGATCGTGAAATTAAGTGTAAATACCAACAATTCAGTCCTTAAGCTCTCCCGAGTTGAGCAAGCAGGCTAAAACCTGACACACGTTGAAATTAAATATCTCAGGTAAGTACAAGGAAGACCTAGATCTTACAACAGATGAAAGATTCAAAATATATACTACAACTTCTTTATCAGCCTCTCAGCTCTCCAGAGTTGCACAGTAGCTATTAGCTTCTTCTTTGACACATAAGAATTAGCTCTGCTTAGAGGCAACAAAATGAATTCCCTAAATTTGCCTTCTTAAAACACAAGCAGAGAAGGCAAAGGAACAAGCTTTCAAGGAACAGCCRGAAAGCCCAGGACGAGGAACAATCTGTAGGCACTCAGTGACACATCAGCATCAGGCCTGTGTATGATGATAGTGTTCAAAGCTAGGGATGCAATCTGAGCTTCCTTTCATTTCTAATTTAATTAACAAACTATCATCAAGCAGAGTGCATACACTCTCTTGCTAAGCAGAGCGTGTTACATCTGTTATTGCTGCTTTTTATTACCTGATACACTAGATTCATATGGCCTTTCCATTTGAAAGCAAGTAACAGAAAAAGTGTTCATCTTGGAGCCACCAATTCACTGTCAAAATTCAGTYACCACACTGACAAATCGGCACCTCRTCTTTAACCAGGACATTCCCCATTGGATCAGACCATGCTCAGAATATCATTTTCCCCCTTTCCATTTATCAGGCAATGCAGGTAATTCACTCCTGTTTAGAAATTACAGAAGACACATGTACACCTGGAAGTGACGAGAGTGAAACAAACATTCAAATGCAACTAGGCATAGAGATTTGGATGCAATTCTGTCCTCAGCTTCGGATCTCACACCAGAAATAAGACACCCAAAAGAATAAAACCTATTTTACTGGTTTCTTCACAAAATTCCCATTTTGCATCCCTACGGCTCTGAGGGGTGAGAAAATAAATGTGAATTCTGCTGAAG